GTCCCCTTCGGCCACGTCGTGTACCGCTTCCCTCTTACTCCTACAGCAGACTGCGTAGTGATTGCGTTTTGTTCACTCGGCGCATCTCTTTCCATACGTGGGGCACTTCCTCGGCGGATGAGAAAAAATACAATTAGTGCATCTTCTCTGCTCACGCTGTTTGGCTTGCCCTTGTTGAACCGGGTCAATTTTCACAGTTTCGCCATCCCACGCTTTGTTCTGTGCTTCGACACGCTACTCAGCCTTGCAGCACTCTACTGCTACTTCTAGAGTTAGGTATTTTTTTCGATGCAGGTTCTCTCGCAACACCGTCCTCGAAATCCCGTAAACAATCTGATCTAGGAGCAGAGATTCTTTCAAATCTGCAAAGTTGCACGTCTTTGCTTTCAGTTGCAGGTTTCTAAAAAAATGTTCAAATGGTTCTCCTTGAGCTTGCCGACGCATGCGAAACACGTAGCGCTCGTACGTTTCGTTACATTTGGGCAGGCAGTAGTCTTCAAAAGTCTTGACTAGTACGTCATAGCCAGCTTGTTCCTCTGCTGTCAAATTCAGTGTGTTAAACACGTCTATAGCTTCCTGGCTCGGGATATGTAAAAATATGGCGGCCTTCTGTTGCTTACTGCGAGGCTTTGTAGCTTCCGTTGCTATGAGGTAAAGCTTAATGCGCTGCTTGAACCTTTGCCACGACTTCATCGCGTTGTCGCCAAGTTACAGCGGTTCCGGAGGTCGAAGATCTGTCATGATGCCGTGAGCTATCACCTTTGGACTTATGACACCATGTAAAGGTAGTGTGTTCACGATCAGTGGCAGCAACAAGAACAACTTCTTTATTTTTGAGCGCGCGCTCCTCTGGTCTCTTCGCGTGCTTCAGTGTTGCTCCCGCTAGCATATGGTAAAGGAACGGTGTCCCTTCAGCCCCTAAGTGATCGGTAATTTTAATCCTAGTCTTGGTGACACAGGCAGCCCAGTGCAGATGTAGCCTCCACCGTGGTAAGAAGAAACTAGCGCCACAAGGCGCTAGTGGCAGAAAGGCGAACATACGTATGGTCGGTGACGAAAATCTGTCTCAAAAGACTGCCAGATGGCGCCACTACGATCGTTGGCGTGCACCCTCCTCGCCTCCTCCTCCTTCCTTTTTTTCTCTCTTTTTTTGTCATTTTTGTTTGCTTGCTTCGCTGCCGTCCGCGCGCGGCTCGTTTGCTCAACCGGTGCCGTGCTGGCTAGGGATGCCGCGAACTTTTTTCGATCGAAGTTTCGATGATCGAGTCAAGCGGTTCGAAAGATTTCGATTTTTCGAATTGTCTACATCGTAAAATTCGACGGAAGTCGAATTTTCGAACTTGTTGAGCTAAGCGGTTCGACGCTTTTCGAAACGTCGACCTTATTATGCTAAGAAATTCGATCTTTTTCGAACTTTCGAACTTATTGCGCTTCAAAGTGCGATGCTTGTCGAACTTCCGAACTTGGCTGACCAAAAAATTTTATAAATTTCGAAATTTCGAACTTATTTATCAAGAGAATTCGAAAAGTTTCGAACTTTCGAATCCTGAAAAGTCAGAATTTTGACGAACTTCGAACTTTTAGGGAACTTCGAAAGACCAGCGGACGGTTTCGTTTGAATTCAAGTAGTGAGGTACATTCGTAGTTTTTTTTTTTTCTCGAACTTTTACATGCGGTGCTGCGTTCCTTACGAAAGACAATGGCGTTTGTTTCAATGTTCTGGCATGCTTAGTTTTAAAGAAATAAATTTCCGAAGGGGCGAGGAAGGACGACGGGTTTTTGATGATTATCTTTGTGCCAGACTTGATGCGCGCTGTAGCCGAAGCTATTTGTAGTAGAGATGTTATACTTTTTTTAAGAACGATCTATGTATAGCCTAGGTAAGTGCCGTCTTAAGATGTGATTATTGTTATTCAACGTGAGTTTCGAAGAAATGTCCAAACATGTATCTACATGCAATTATGCCCTGAACTTGATATTTGTATTTGTCTAAGTTGTTTGAGGTATCGCATTTAAATTAACACCACGGACAGTACATATCATTGCCATCTGCAGAATACAAAATAATGTATTTATTGTTTTTTCACGTTAAGTAATGAATTAACTCATGGGAGAAGATTTCTAATAGTGTTCAAGGTCAGCAACGTCATTAAAAGACAACTTTTTTGTTTCGCTTCACGATTTTGGGACGTGTTACTTTTAGCCTGTACACATTTTGGTAAAAGAAACTTGTTTCGAAGTTCTGAACCTCTGAATACGCAAGAATACATCACTTCCGGCAAATTCTTGATAGTTTTCTTTTTCTCCAACTTTTTATCCCCGCATTTATACTTTTTTTTTTTTTTTTACTATTGGCAGAGGTATTTAGGTCGAAAAGACATAGCTTTGAACTTCCGAACCACTAAGCATGTGACGAGTAGTGCCTTCTGACAACGAGTTTCTCACAATGACCATCTACGCAATCTTTTATGCAGTGAAGAGCGACAGTAGCTATACATATGCATAAATAATATCAGATTAAAATAAGCTCGACCACGCCCTCTTTTCCCGAGTTGTTTTCTTTAACAGTCCGAAATATCTGGAAGGGGGAAAGGAAACTGAAGCCCCCCCCCCCCCCCCCCCCGCTACCCTCTTACCCCCCGTTTTTCCTTTTCCGACGCCACCTGTATGGTAGAACGCTCCTCGACCTCGAGTTGTGTCGGCTTTTTGGGGGGCGATTCCTCCGTTGCAGAAAATAAACCTCCAGGACAATTACAAACTTAACTTACTATATGCCAGCGTCACCCGGGCGGCGTTCGATCAGATTACTTCCAGCGTGCAAGGGGTGGCGAGGTAGTTTGCCAGGTCGCTTCAAGGTTTTTTTGAGCCTCAACCTCGTGCCCGCCCCTGGCCGTTTTGAACTGGATGAGTCTCGTAAAACAGTGTGTTCGTGTGATCACTACTGCGTGATGCAGGTCAAACACTCCCCCCCCCCCCCTTCCCCACCCGGGCTGGCGGTCACAATTACTGATCCACGGTCACACGTCACTCTGCACTGGCAAATATTCCAGCAAATCCGGGACACTCGTCGCCTCATTTAATTGCGTGACCAACTTCGCAGAATCTAGATATTACACCCTAACTTTTCTAAACTTGATTTTGTGAAAACCAGTGTGTCGTAAAAACGTTATTTGAAACAAACTGTGGAGGAACTTGAAAACCGTGCTTCGAACTTTGAAAACTTGGACTAGAAAAAATCAAAATCTTCAAAGTTTTTTTTTTTTTTTCGAATTTATCGTTAAAAAGAATTGAAACCTTCGAACTTTTCGAACTTTATGCAGAAAGAAATTCGAAAAATCGAATTGTTCGAACTTCATGTCTATAAAAAATCGAAGCGTTCGAAGTTTTCAAATTTTATTTCCAAAGAATTTCTAAATCTTCGGATTTATCGAACCTGAAGTAAAAAAAAAAATATTCGAAATATTCGAATCGAAATTTTAGAAACCGTGAAAGCTTCGAACTTTTCGAATTCGAAACTCCACTGTGATCGAAAGGTGCGAATTTTTCGAATTCGAACCTCGGTCGGTACGAAAATATCGAAATTTTTCGAAATCGAACTTCAGTTCGCTTCGCAAATATCGAAACCTTTCGAAATCGGACTTGGGGTGGTTCGCGACATCCCTAGTGCTGGCCGCTGCGAGCGGCCAGCACGGCACCGGTCGAGCAGACGAGCCGCGCGCGCTACGTTTCGCAACAAATGCGCTTCGCGTGACATTACCGGTGCAATAAAACAGAAACAGCAGGTTCATTGAAATGCATTTTTTATTGAACACCATTCACATGGGTTGCGGTATTGGAAAGACCTATTTACCAACTACATTGCCGCTTCATCGCCCATCAAAGGAAACCAATATCTGTAAAAGGCAGTAAACGTTGTCAAATATGTAAAACGAAATAATTACTTTAATGTTCATACTAACAGGACAGCACTTATCATACTTCGAATTATCTAAATGACTCTGTAAACAACTCCTACAAACAAAAATGCTTAATACCCAAACAACAAATCAACTCCCAAATAAAGCAAATCTGCTTTAATATTTAAATTCCAACAAGCATACAGAAGTGCAGACAGCCCTATAAACAAAAATGCAGTTCCACAAACGACGCTCATTACAGTTGTTAACCGTTCTGCAGGATTTTGGCAAGCAGGGATGTGGACAAAAATAATACCAAGACCTATTGCGCAGGTAAGCAGGCTTATAAAATCAACCCAGCAGCTATTCACAAGATTCAATGTAACCAATATGTACAATTAAATCTGGAGGAGTAAGCGCACACATAATGTGTTTACGCTACATACTAAGTTTTTGAGTACCACTGAAAAGACATGAGGTCTGATAGGTGCATATCAAATGTGAATTGTGTAAAGTTCATTATGGTTTGTGTGGGGTTAGTCTGCCAGGGATGGAGGCAACCTGTCTTCAATTTAGACGGGGCATTTTGAGCAGCGTAGTCTGAATGCTAGATTTGACATTCAGAGAGTCAATTTAGTCGTTCATGTTTATATAGCGTAAGGTCGGTCTGCCAGTTTGAGGCGAAACTGGTTCACGCTGCAGATGAGCAATTTTGCCAGTTCAGTATGTATGACTGCTAGACTGGGGTCTTTGACGTGCTCACGCAGTAGTGATACACGACCGCACGCCGGTACGATGCTCATCCAGGCTGAAACGGGCAGGGGTGGGGCTAGAACCCAGGATCCTTGGGTTTTGATTTGGCATCCAAGTTATACCAAAAAGAGAACTTTCGACATCCGCACAGGTGCACAAGAGCCATAACCAACTCTCTACTAAATCAAATTAGTTTGAAAATGTGTGTCGTTTCCTTTTTTTAGATATTTTACGGGAATCTTTTTTCAATAGATCCCAGTTAACGAGCCGAATGTGCCAACGTAGGCGCACATTCACAAAGAGGTGGAGGAACTGCACTGTGCATGCTGAGCTACAAAAGTGAGCTTCGGAATGTGGTACCAGGGCATGCACAATGCGCTCAGCTACCTTGGGCTTGTGAATCTGCTGCTGCTCAACCTGCTCAAGGAAAATATGCTCAAGCACCTTGAAGCAAAGAAAAACAAGAATCAGATGGAGCACAAAAAGAGCCGAAAATTGAGCCAGGTGCGTTCGCTTGAAGCAGGGCATGGAATTGAACTTCCGACGTTAGTTCACCACTTGCAGCTTTCAACAAGTCCGGGCTAACATGGTAAGATACCTTCTTAAGAAATGACTCAACCAGGCCCCCAGAGAAGTGATACAGTATGTTTTCCTGGACAATGTTTTGATTTAGATCATCGGGTAATGTAAGGTCGTCAGCATCAATTGATTCCAATGGCTCAGGCTGGTGGCTGGCTGCAGCCGACACTGGGAGGTGCCTCAATTCCATTAGCAATGTGGCATTGTCTACCTCAAAGTTTCCTTCACTAGAAAGTTGAAACATCTTTCCAAGAAAATGTGTTTTAGACCTGGCACAAACTGGTCGGAATTGGGCGTCTAGCTGCAGCCGTGCCGCTGCGGTACCATGCCGAACATGTTCTCTAGCGGGTCCTGGTTGAGTCGTCTAGTTTGAAGGTGCTCAAAGTTAAAGTTCTGCCTCAGATCTTTCCCACAGTCAGAGGATGGCATTGATGGGGATTTCCCACCCTTTTATTGTCTGAGGTTGTTTGGGAGAACGAAACTGCCGCTGAGAGATCCTCGAGCTTTTTCGAGCGCAAGAAATCTACATGTTCCGATGTAGAAGTAGAATCAAATCTCATTTTTCCTTTGTCACATTGAAGACTTTGGCTGTTTAGCGAATCAAAAATGTGATCCATTTCTTCAAGGAAGTCGCATGTGGCCTGAGCCTCGGGGGGCAGCTGATTGAAGGAAATGAAACTCGCAAGTGCGCCAGAAGGGTGTCACTAAAACCTGCGCAGCAAATTTCACCTTTATGTTCCCAAATTGGGTCTGATAGATGTGCCTGTCGGTGAGTTTTTTTGCCAATCGCAACCGCACGGGATGCTTGTGTTTGTAGGAGTCAACAATATATTTCCATGATATCAATGTGTTGCAAATGCTGAGGTCATGCTTGCGCAGGTTGTTTCGTGAGCACTTGAGGCGGTGAGGGGTGTCAAAGAGGAAGTAGACCTGGTTGTCACCAACAAAGAAGAACGGATGGTCTGGTGTGACACCCAGCATTCGTGCAAGAGCGCAATTACTGGCTCCCCTGGTCACACACAACAGACTTCACAAAGATTTCTTGAGAAATCGGACTTTGAATGATGTGTGTCAACAAGTCAGGAAGACATCCAGCAGAAGCTTTTGTTTTTAACAGGTGAAAGCATGTGGTTGAACCCAGGACTGAGAGATACCTGCCTGCAGAACAACCGAACCTGAATCAGCCACATCAGCATTTTGCTCCTTACCCTTGTCTGTAAAGCCATGCACGATATCGGATTTAGAGTCATAGAAGGCATTTTCTTTCAGGGACATTTCGTCGAACATCAGAATGCATGCTCGATCTTTAAGGGGCCAATCGTGTAATTTGTTTACACCAGTTGTGATGAGACTGGGAACAACTCCAGTGTGCTGAGCGATGCGAGACAGCCAGTTCTTCAGCGACCTAACTGATGGCAAGCTCAGGTACTTGGCAAGGTACTTGTAAGCCCCGCGGCTCTGGAAGTAGAGGTTTAGCGCAAAAGGCTTGAACTCATCAGGCCATTTTCGTCCGAACATGTTCGTAGGCTTCAAATGCAGCTGAATCTTGAAAATATCAAGTGCTCCCTTGGAAATAAATTTCGAAGCACTCTTAAGGACCTGATGTCTAGTCAAATCTGCAAAATCAGTTTTCTGCGACCAGCTGTGCTGCTTGTTGGGGTTGCTTTTAGATCAGCAGTGCTGCTTGACGAAGGGCCAGCTACGGCGGCCGCAGTGCTGCCCATCGACGTCCTCTGGGGGGTATCTGTTAAAGAAAGTTTGTGAAACCTTTAAAAATTAACCGCTCTTTAGCTTTAGATTAAACTGAATTCGGTACAGCTATGATGGTCAAGTTACTTCTCTGTGACTAGTCATAACTAAACCAGAAAACAGCCAAGCACCTACAGGGGAAAGTGATTTTAAAACACCACAAAGCACTTATGTATCGCCATGCTTTCATCTATGCTCTAGTATATTCTTTCAGCTGTTTCTGATTTCGACCACATATGTTTTTATCTTCACCACCTTTTGTGTTGTTTTTTGAGGCCCAAGTTTGATGTGCGTTCATTGCCCACTATACCTACATCCCAGCTCCCACCACCAATTCAATTTCACTGCCCTATAAAAGACTCACTGCCTTAGCTTCCGCTCAAATATATTATGCTTTTATCGTTGGTGAAAACAGTAGGAAAAATCTCTGCTTCTCACCAGTGTGGGGCCCCTGAGCCTCTTCATATTGAGGAGCGTCCGGGGCCACTGAAGTAATTGCACCCATAGCTTGTAAGGTCACAAAGGTCTACACTATTTTATAAGCATCAAGGGTTACTTTAAAATATGTGAGCGTAGAACACAAGGTATACACCCTACAATTCACGCTTTCATGATTCGAAATACCAGTAAGGAGATATTCATCTCATTAACGAGTGGACCCTACTCCTGTCGCTCATGAATAGTGGCTTGAGGAAGTAGTGATGAGACTACGCATAAAAGGGAAATGAACATATTTTGTAGAGTATGAGCCCACATTCCAGGAACATTCGTCCAATTGAAAATATAAAGTTCTAATTATATGTCTAACTTGTAAAGTACAAGCTTTTTAGCCTGAACGAAGTATTAAAGTACTTATATTAATTTTTTCCTAAATGTTGTAATTTTAACATTAACATATGCTGCATCAACAGCTGTAAGTTTCAATTGGAATAAAGCAACACGAATTTTTTGGAAGCTATATAGGTACGTTATTATGCTCTGTAATTAAGCACGAGAAAATAGCAAAAACTACATGGCGAATTATAATTCATGTGTTCCCGAATAAAACTATCACAAAGAAATTGGATTTCTTTTTCACCAAGGTGGAGGACGGGCCCTTCCCCTTGCTCCCGAGGAGTGTCATGGGGTGTTTTTCAAGACTGTTGTTAAAAGGGCAATTAATACATGTTGTGAGTTCACTAAACTAAATATATTGACATAACCTTCAAATAAACTATACTTCAAAGAAAACGAATAAAGAACACGAACTCTGCCCTATATTATTTCTATCTGCAACTACTGTGAAGTTAGGCACCTTGGTGCAGCCGGATGCCAAGTGAAAACGCAAACAGAAAAGGTCCTCATGGTTTGTGCGGCCAAAAGAGACAGGAGAGCCCCAATCAGAACAGCTGTTTGACTTTCCCAACTTCCCCGTCAACGACACCGTGACGTGCGATGCTCCAACGCCGTACTCGTCGAGCTCGGAGCTGCAAGAACTTCAAAGGAGAATGCCGCGCGTTGACAACACTCGCTCTGTGCGATTGAGATCAACACAGACGTTTGTTTGCTCCCGAGATTTTATCACTCAAAGTTTAATCCTGACCACCCCCCCCCCCAAAAAAAAAAATACATATATTAAAATTAAAAAAAAAGAAATTACAAAGTTTTGTTTTTGTTGTTATATCTGCGCAGCTCCGCTCCGCGTTACTTGAGATAAGAAGTGGACTAAAATTGCATCAGAACTATATCAACAGCAGCGACACCAAACATTTCGTTATACTATATAGTAATTAAACGACTTATTTTTTGCGGGCTTCATATATTTAATGGACAAAAAGATACTTTTTAGTGTTGTGTCGTTTACCCGCAGTCTGGTTTTTTTTTTTCAACCATGTGCCATATAATTCGGGGTTTAGGTCAAAGCTGAAGTTTTGGAATAATTCGCGGGTTCTAATTTTCGCGAGGCAATGGGAATTCGCCAAAAATTAGGTTTTCGCGAAAATCAAGTCGCCTACAGTAGTTGGTTCGACTATGCCATTCTTTACAAATGTCTCACCGTGGTGGGGCCCGATCCCTCCTCCCTCAAGACCAGCGCCTAGGAGGGTCGCTGATGGGACTACGAAAGAAGAACAAATAATATGTACAATGTAAGTTCACTAGATAAAAAATGTGCTGCAAACGTGGAAAGTTACATAAAAAGATACAATGAATAAGCGCAAATCGTGAGATAGAATGTTTTAATAACTAAAAACACTACGAACTATACTAACACTTGCGAACCCTGTTAAAAATAATTCTAAAGGGCCTATCAGCCTTGAAGAATTATGGGACCTCACAGGCCTTCGAAAACCTTCAAAAATAACCTTCAGGTATACCTCAGAAAAAGCCCTCCAGCACTACAGCCCTTCAACCCGAACCCCTTAGCCTATCAACCCTTTAGAAATGACTGTGAACCATAGACAAAAATTCAGTTCAAAACGTTATTAAAACTTTATTGCGGAGATTGAGTTTTGCATGCGTATTAAAACGCAAAAAGATGGTAAGAACCAACGCTTGTTCAAACCCGGCCGCAAGCAGCTGTCGACGAAAGAGATCACATCAAATAGGAACAACTGACTTTATCACAACGAAAGATATCTTTCACAGTACACACAATACCGTTGGGTAAATTACAGATATACGTTAGTTCAGCTAATAAAACCGAACAGGTGCACCTTACGTTCACGTACACAGTCTCAGTAAGCACGCTTAGCGAAAACCACGAACTCGCAAGCAGATCCCGTCACCGTTGAGGAATCCCGAGTACAGTCACGGTTTCGTCCGTGGTGTCGTCGGGGCGGCGTCTTCGGCGTATTTTTCGCTCGCTGGATTCTTTTGAAGCCGGTCGGACGAAGAGGCGCAAGGAACAAGGCGGAACAGCGGCCGTCATCCGCCGTCTCAGGACCCACAGTGCCATGATCCCGGTGCGCAGGCACTACATGCGGTGGGACGCTGATCCCGACTGCCAGGCTTGCTGCGAGTAGGCCGACACCGGCCACCATCTCCTTGAGTGCGCTGAACACGATGGCGCTCGAGCGGTCCTGAAGGAGGCCAACGCCAAACTGGGGTTCCCCTGCAAAACTAAGGAAGAAACAGCACGGAATTAAACAGACCAAGTGTCGAGCCCTCAAAGCAGTGCTTACCTTTCTGGATGGAGG